GTTAGAGTACATATGTTCAATAAGATTACAAAGGAGTCGCATTTTATTCAATACTCGTTCCCTTATTTTTGAGATAAAATAGATCCAGGAGCTGCGCCTTGATTTTCTGATATAATACATCGATACATTTTTTTTTAATTTTCTAGTATGAACTGTAATATTTCAATTATATTGCGCTTTTGTATGATAGCATAGTAGTGATGTCTTTTTAGTCTTAAAAATTAAAACGTGAAATATAATGCAATAAGAAATAACAATCTTTATGGAGGAAAAAGAAACATTTACCTAATCATCATTTCACTCTGTCTCTCCTTCAAGAGATCAATATTCATTATATGCAAAGATTCTGCTTTGACAAAACGACGGATTATGTTAACGATACATTGGCACTTTTTTCATGGGCCGATAATTGCCTAAATCAATCGGGAAATTCTACACAAAGACAAATTAATGAAGGATGCCTTTGTTTACATGTACACAATATATAGTAAACGGTTTCGTTATTTAATGTGTGTGTTGGAAACGTGCGTATTTAAATATAATAACAGAAAGCGTTAAAACTTTGTACATTACTGCATGTAATGATTAAATTATATTTATTTTTGTTAAAATAAAAATTAGAAGATAATAAAATAGAGTAAAAAGATCGATTCATTTTTTTATTTTAAATTCCAGAGACAAGGTGAGAATATCGCTTAAGTTATATTGTAAGATATTTAAAAATGAAAACAGCTTTGTCCGTGATTTAGTAAATTGAAATTATACTTATGCCCGATATTTAAATTCATAGTTTCCCTGAAAACAATTTAGTGAATAACATTTCGTTGCATTCAAATAGTTTAAAGTTACAATAAATAAATTTCATAACAAAAAGAAATAGCGACATTTCATTAATAAATTGGGTTTCATATCGACTCCAGATCTTATTTTGGTGTCCAGAAAATAAGCATACAAATGTGCAACCTCTTTGTGGTGAATTCGGAAGTACAATTTCTGCTTGCATGAGAAACTCCGCCTTCAGATCATCCGTACATCAATATTAAATCAACAAACATGACTATAAGTAGCAGTCCTAATTTAACGGTATATTTCCACATTGTAACGGATATTTTCATACAAATTTAATCCTTTTTATGAGATGAATATTTTTTCTGAACCACAGGCCTAGTGCACCGTGAAGCTTAAACGGTAAAAGTGTGTTTGCACAAGAAAATCTTTTGTTTGCTGTGTTCCGGATAGCAACTATAACACCGTGACGTAGCGCATACACGAGCTGATTATATAGTCTTCATTTGCATGTTAAAATTCGTATACGAACTTTAGTGTTACCTTGGGGTTTTCCATTTAAAATCCTAATTTATGAACAATATTTGATGAGATTTAAAACTATACTGTTAAAAAGGTTAATGAAACTGTAGAATGCTTGGTTTTTAGGCCGACGGCAAAAATATTTTAACATATTTATTTAATGTAGCTTTAATAGCAACTTTACAGAAATCTTTTTATTAATGTATGGATTTTACTGTATAACTTAAATAATTATTCAAATGTGGCATTTTTTAAACGAAATAAATGGCTTATGTTCAATTAGATATTAAAGAACATTCTTGTTGACGACTTTTCACAATCAGATCCGACTTTTAGACAATAAAAATGTGATCTTTAAGAGCATACCATAAACTTTGATTTATTTTGATAATCGATGAAGAAGATCATATTATAAATGTTAACAATGTTTGTCACATGAATTTATGACTGACCTTTTATAACGTTCACATAATCATGACTTATTGTTGTGTTTCATCTATAATCTTGTCAAAACAATGTTGAAACTCAATAACTGTCCCATGCAACATATTTTACGACATAGTTATCTCCAAGTTTATCGATATGCACAGTAAAGTAGAAAATAACAGAATCCCTAAAGAACGCTTAAAACGGCAAGAGTAAGCATATGTTAATTTAATGGAGATTGAATGGTTGTTTGATTTTTTTTTTAAATGATATAAAAAGATTTTAACAACATGTATATAACCATTAATCAAAGTTAAATTTCACAAATGGATTTATAATTTAAACCATTATCCGAGTCTGTATTTATACACAAAACAGTAGTAACTGCTTTTAGCGCATGTGACACATTTGAATACAGTTTTATACCTGCTATGAATACAAAGGGGATCTATTCAGATACAAACCCGATGATATGAAACGCAGCATGCATTATCTTCGTTTAAGTATTTGCATCTTGATAAATAAATCATCTTAGCATTATTGATTAACTCAATTCGTGATAAAGTCTCACTGCTTTTACGTCTAACCTAAATGTAAATTAGCATAATATTAACAAACTATTATAACCAGCACATTCAACGTAGTAAAATCATTGAAGAAGCTGCATTGGTGTAAAAGGCTTAAAAACATGAAAAATGTATATAGGTGAAATGATGCACTTGCCATGGAAATATCTGCAAAGGTAATAAAGGCATATACTTAGAATTAAATTGAAAATCGACAGTAAGTGCTATTCTTATCCCGGTTTGTGTGAAAAGCGTTGCAACGCTTTTCATTTTTTGGGGTCATTTTTGCAATAAAAATTATTATTCTGGAAATACGGATGAGGGATTGATCTGAAAATTTGCACACAAGTTACTGGGTCAGGCCTACATCAAATGGTACACAAAGGTCGGGGAAATGCGTGTAGTCCCGTCATGTCAAAATCCTCAATGTAGTTCTGTGACATAATTACTAGTTAGTGATAAAATAACGCCTGCCCCTCAATAACTAAAGAAAGTTCTATGAAATATAATCATTGGCCAGAGCATGCCGTTTTGCCACTTTACACAGCCATTTAAACAAACACTCATTGTGCCAGAAGAACGACTGTCTCTCTGTTAACTAAGTGATATTAACTTTTTGATATACACTCAGCCCAATGAGAGATCGGGTGTGTGACAGAAGTGTATTTAAACAGAATATCGGTAATACTGCAATGACATCAGAACATAATTAGTCATTTGTACGATAGTATCACAAAGACATGTCATGTTAGTATACTGCTTTTGTATAGTTACGCAATATTTATTAATCTGTTTTATAGCTTTATCGTGCAGATACTATTCATCAGATATTATTGTATGATAATAGCAGGATTAATTAGGTCATGATATTAACTATAAGAAATCAATATATGTATAAGTTGTACAGTAATTTTAACATTATAACGGACATTGTTAAGACAATGATATATTGCCGTCCCAGTTTGCAAAAGAATACTCTCTGTTACATTTAACTTTTTTTTTTATATGATTTTTTAAAAATATAATTACACATGATATTAAAATAATAATTTTGATCTTATCTTACTTCATTGGAAGAATAAAGGCCTAGCAGAGTAAGGACAATCTAATTACTATACACCAGATGTCTATTAATTCAAGAAAATATTATAATCATTTAGGAGGATTATTGGGAAAGCTTGTCGCTAGTTATTTCAAACATTTCTGGCATGACCAAATGTAGGTCATGTTTTAACATCTTACTTTCAAGGCAAAGTAAGGATGATTCATTTATTTTTCGTTGTCAGTTGAAAAAGCTGCAACATTATGCAAATGTAACTATAAAACTAGCAGTATTAAATTTCAATAAGCGTTTACAATAAGTGTGCTAAAATACTATTGCAATATTTGGTAGTTAAATGGAGGAAACGTCTGAAAATGAAAAGGAATATTCCAAACAATGATTTATTGTAGGTTTATTGCAAGTAATTGATTTTAATATTCCTATTTGATAACTCATTAAAAGTATTGCTAACCCCAGGTAGATAAACCTTTTACGATTCTTTTGTTTTAACAAGTTTTAGATAAATGAATCTTATAAAAGAGCGGTATAAGATTCCCAACAGTGCAGTTTTTAACCTTTTCAACAAACCCCTTCGGGTGCAAAATAACTCAACTCGTGATTAAACAAGAATGTGTCTGCTTGCACTATAAACTAACCCTAAATAATTTAAAAACTTGAAGTAGTTAGATTTTATATTTATTTGATTCATTCAAAAGAAAATTGTTTGAAATAGTGTTATTAGTATTGAATATTTTAGATAAATATTGCAAACACAAACAAACACTTTAGCACATCTTATGAAATATGTTTAAATCAATACCGTAAAGCAACAATTTACAAAAGTAAATCCTTGAAATGAAATAATTCAAATAGTTATCCTTTACTGAAAACATTTACAAAATATATATAGTTTAACAATGATAATATCAGTAAAAATCTTTTATAGGAGAAATTTTGACTGTAATTAATTCAAATATTAATTGTTTTGAAATCAATCATTTCTGAAATTATCTCAGATGTCAATTCTGAAGACATTGAACCAATGTAGTAACAATTAACTGTTTGTTCATTTAGTTTTAATACATTTCATTTTAATTCCATTCTCGATCGTTTTACTGCATTGGCATGACTATTGAATTGAGCCAGAAACTGTGAAAGTATCATTTATTTTGTCAAACTGAGACGGCAATTGAACGGTTAAAAATAAAATTTAGCATACACACTTTATCGACTGTCTATAGTGATATATATGTCATTGTTTATTGTTTGTTTATAACAGTTGAGCAACGTCATCAGACGACATGAATACGACTTATCGTTGTATAATGTCTATAATCTAGTCACAACTATGTTAAACGCCAATAACTGTCTCATATAGTATTCTTTATGTGGACATTATTTCTTAATACATTTCTGTTGTATGCTGTATTGTAACGTATGTAAATAATTCATTTTTGTGTAGAAATTCTTAATATATTTCAACATGATAAAATTAGTATAAATGGATACATGATAGTAACAAAGTAACGATCCAATAATTATCTATCATATATGTCTGTAACAGGGTCATCTTTTCGTGCTTTAATTACAGTTGGGTTGATTCCAGTTACTTCCCTTGGATTATTATTTTTAATTGTATTTTTAACCAATCAGATGATCGCTTTGTATTTCCCTCCAAATGTGTTAAGTTTGATGATTTTTGCGGGAGTTGAAAAGTATTTTCAATAGAGAATAGTTGTGCTTATGATTTGTTTTATTTGTTTTAAGGATTTGGAATAAGTATTATGGTATATTTTAATGTTTATTGTTCGGCAATAACTTCTGTATTTCATGTAAACAGTGTATATTTATTTGAGAAGTAAATTCATGATTTTCATGTATTTAGAATTGAGTAAAGAATTGAGATGGTTCAGAAATAGCATTCCTTTTTAACTTCACTTAACTCTTTCTGTCATGCACATTGTTCTTAATAATATGCATTCTTTATTTGATAATTTGCAGCACCCAGTCACTGTGTGAGTGAAGTGTTTGTTGATTGGAGTAAAGTTAATTAGATGGTTTGATATTGTTTAGAGCATACAATTCCACAAATTGGTAAGTCATCATTATATATTATAATTGTGTATTATTATGTGTAAGTTATTGCTGTAACTTTTAATTGATTATTTATTGTATGTATGTAATGTAACTGTAATATATTTTAATGTAACTTTTAATGATATTATTGTTAAGGGTTAAGATTAAGCCACTAGAACCACTTAATAATAAGTATCAAATGTGAACTATTGATCATTATGATTTAATGTGTTTTTAACATTATATATTGTGAATTAGAGGGAGATAACCCTGCAAAGATGAGACATTAAGTGAATAGGCATTTAGTGACATTTTGTATGTTTTCAGTGTGCTGGACTTGTTAACTAGGTACTCTAGTTGACTGTGATAGTGTAATGTGAAACAGAGTGCAGGAACAGTGATATAATGGTTTGAGACATTTTAAGAGGATACAGTGATTATTTATATTTATTTGTTTATCAACATAATAACACAGTGAACTATTAATAAATGTATATGTGAACCCAAGCCTATTTGGATTTGTAATCTTTTATTTAGATACAAAGTAACCAAAGGTAACATGTCGTCTGTCAAGTATTATGAAATTAGTCATACATTTCCTTTTATAAATGTATACTGCTATTGTCTGTAAATATAAAGTAAAATTTTCAAGACTTTTCACGATGCAACGTATGTTATACAATAAACAAACAACTTTTATTTTGCTATTTAATTTACAATCAATCCGCTAACCAACTTCCCACCAGCATGCCGCATGTTGTCGTGCAGAATTTATTTGTTTTATAAATACATTTAACTTGAAATAAATTTGCTATAAACCTTATTTTCTGAGATGTTTCTACTGATAACATTGATCAATAAATTAAGGAACATATAAATGTTTTACAGTGCAATACATATGATTCTGATTGCTAAACCTACTACCAGAAATACTACCAAAAATTGTTATGAAAGTAACATGGTTTTAAATATTCCATATAAAGAACATATTATTAGACATCATATGTATTCTATGGTGTATTTTCTATAATGTTTTCTATCATGTATTCTATCATATGTATTATATCATATATTATATCATGTAATCTGTCATTTGTATTATATCATGATTGTATTCTATCATGCATTTTATCATGTGTATTTTTTCATGTTTTCTATAATATGTATTCTCTGCAAGTATTTACTTGTAATATGCAATATTGTACTATGGACTGAACCATCTATATTGGTAAAGAAGGTATCACTCCTTTGCAAGAGCATTTCTAATTAACCTGCTATTAAGTGAAGACAGCTGCTTTTAGCTGATCAACACAATTATTAAATAGAATTGTCAACGAATGCCAGGATATGAGTGTAAAAAGGTTTGTTTTCGAAATTAAAACCTAAGGTTACTACATATAGATGTTTTAACGTGGGATCACATTTATAATTAAGTCACTGATTTTTATCAGTTGTTTTTTACATTAATTTGATTAGTGATATATATATTTGGTATAAAAAAGGTTGCTGTGTTTTAACAGGTATGAAAGGACATGCATTTATTTTATTTGAAGAAATCTCAAATGTCTGTTACAAATATGCACCTTTTAAGTTTACATTTCGTAATTCTTTTTTTTAAGAATTCGTTTACTGGTTAAACATTAATTATCGTTATTATTATCGTGTCGAATGTTTCGTAAACTCCAAATTGTGAACAACTCAGCCTGTTTTCTAGTTTTAACTTACTCAAATGATAGATTAAATACGATTAATGGCTACATGCTTGGAGTGGAACGGAGAAATGTTCAGAAATAAAACAAGGGGTATGGTTTCCCTACGTGCCTGCTGTTTAGGGAATAAGTGAAAATAATCTTCTTACGGCTTAAGCACTCAGCAGAAATGATGGTATTATAAATTCGACATAAGATATTTTTCACGCTGATATTATCCGTATTAACCTTAAAACGTCTGAAATCATTGAAGTCACATGAGATATTTACAAAGAAACATAGATGTTAATTTACTATATGAAATATGTTCACTATTTGAAACATCACTCAAACGTATTGGACATGTAAGTTTTACAGAAATAATATCAAATACTTTCCTATGCAGTAATTATAAATATGATATGGTCACCAACGAATATCAGGAGAATATAATGATAGAATTGATATAAAAGTAATAAAATTCATATATATCTCGAAACCAGTGTTTAGGCTCCTGCGGGGCAAACGTTTTTCAGAATATTCTTCTTAACAAAAGATCCATTAGCTCTTTTGTTCGGAAGGAGTTAAATCAGGAAAGAAATCAGAATAACCCGGCTTAACGACGATTTCGAGTGTTTCTTAAAATAGTTATACATGGTTATCTTTATTTCCATATTCGCTCATACCATACCAAATATAACATATTTGTTTACAACCTTTCGCGGCGATTTTTGGCAATATTTTTCATATAGCTTTAGAGCTCTGTGAGTTATAATTATTAATTCGGGATTTGTGTCGGTTTCAAGCGTTAGTTCAATCATTCTTTTGATTATATAATCGAATATCGTCGTCACAAATTTACGTTTATTTTATATTCACATAGATTAATCATGCCTGTAGTTTTAACTGATACTTGATTAGCAACTTCGAATAAGGCATTTTATCTAATACAATTAACGCTAAGATGATGCATTGTTTGAACGATCTATTGACATTCTTCGCGGACAAATAATTCCCTAACAATGTCAGGATGTTCAGCCATTAGGATGATACTATATTCAAGGATATTATGAAAGTTATTTGACAGAAAATAATATTTGAATCAATTATTTTAGAGATCGCTATTCTAAGTATTTTATTCATGTATATTACGAAGTAATAACCCTTACATATATAGGTTTTCTGCTTTTTCTCCATTCATATTGCAATACTGGATTGACAATTCAAATTGTTAAAAAGTAGGAATATATATTTGACATATTTAAGCTAAACTGTTATTTGTTTTGGCAGAATAACCGCATATCATGACATAAATTTTATCGATGTGTAACATCTCTATGTTGTCTTATATTCTAATTTATTTGCGACATTTTTAAAATACACGTTCTTAGTATTAAACATTTATGATAAAATAGTTTATCTAGAGTGGTACATTCCTAGCTATTTAAAACCGTGTATGCTTGTAAAATCCTTTGCATATATAAGCATATAGATTTAAGACAGTACAAGGAAAGCTTTTACTTGCTGCATACATCCTGTTTATTTTCATTGTAGCTGTTATTTTAGGAGACATCAGAGGTAAATCAATTAATTGAACTTCTCTGACATTCTTCTAAGAACATGGTCCTTAATATAATATAGTTAGCTACTACAAACCATAAAATATTACCGGGGATATACGTACTAGTATTAGTGTAACAGATAGAGCCATTGTCATATCAATTTAATCCAAAAGGTGCTAGGAAAATTTGAACAAGACAATTGAACATTTATATGCTGTGGATATTTAAGAACACTCGAATGATGTTTTAGAAATGATATATATCTATGTCTTGAAATTAGCTTTATTGAGTTTTAATGGACTGCGGTCATTTTGTCATTGCTGCGAAAAAAAATTGATACGTTCAAATCAACCGTTTCACAAACAAGGCACAAAGTACACAAATCAATTTGAATGTTGGTCGTTTGAGTTCAGTTTAACTATTATTCTGAATCATTTATTTTATCAACATTATAAATTCTTTTCTGTTTAGGTTTGTGTAAAATACGTCTTTATTTGATGGTAAATGTCAATATTTGTCAATTATTGGTTATTGCATCAGAACATCGTTAACAGCCGGTTATTTAGCGTGAGCTACTGTACTTTATCTTCAGTTTGGTCAAATATATATTAAAAAATTTCAATAACCCTTATTTGCAATACTCCAAAATATCTAATCTCTATCATTTTGTATAGCTGCACATTTGTGTCCAAGCAACAGTTAATTAGAAAAGTTAAGAAAATTTATGTTTACTTTTGTGAAACGTTTCTTGTATATTTGTTATCATTTAAACTAGCTTCATATGGAATGCATTATCTATAACATCAGGCGATTGAATGGCGCCCTAAAACAAGAAATCAATAACAGCATGCTTACTTAATGAGGAACTTATGAAAATGTAATACACTATATCAATTTAGAATATATATAGAATATTTTTAGGTCAGACAAGTTCAATATCTATGTAATACCCAAAAGGAAAGCCATGTAACATAATAATACTTTAAATATGCACCATAATGAAAAAATGAGAAATCTTACGCTGAATCCAAACTCCCAAGTTGAAAGAGAGCAATTAAAATGTACTTCAACAGACGAAATTGGCAACCAATCTCTTGAACAATTATACTCCCAATCATTTGAACTACTTTATTGGCTCTGTTTATTTATTTATTTTATTTGTGGGGCTATTAGGAAGCTTGTTTTTTTTTGGATTTTTTCTCTGTATTATTAGTTTGATTTTCTAATGTCGATTTAAACCCATTCAAGATCATTTATTGGTCGTGTGGAAAACGCTCTATCTGGTAACTGACACATAATCACCAACTTCATTTCACATTGTTTCTGAATCAGCAGGGAAGGACAATGAGTATTAGAATCAATGTCCTGGTGACCTCAGGATCGAACCAGCGTTCAAACAAGGACTTTACACAAAGTGTCACTGTAACCTTTACCGTGGGTAATGTTCGTAAGTTTCACTAGGCTTATTCATTCTCCTTATATATATACATGTACTATTTCTGTTTTTAAGTCACACTGACACTGTAATGGTCATTCGACGAATATGCATTTTTACATTTTCGCTCATGACTCAATCAAAACCGAATCTGCAATGGTCATATAATATTGTTGTTTTTATTGTTTCCGTTGAATCGACAATTTTCAAGATGTTTATCAATCTTTACTGCTAGCAGAAAACTTTTCCCAATACGATAGGTAGATTTATTTACAAAAAGAAAAAGTTTCTTTGCTTGTTATGAGATTATTTTGAGGAAAAATAAAATCTTGGGAAACATAACGTTTAATTCATACTCGCAGAGGTACAATTAAACAATATAAGATATGTGATGGTTTGTCACGTTTTTTTATTTTAATGAAACATTTTGACAAAAAAAGACAACTTGAAAACAATTACAACGAATAAGATCATATACACATTTCACTCATTATCGTTAATATTTTATTATTTTATCGAACAGTTTTAAATCTCAAACTTTATAATTCAATTCTGAATTAATCTCTGCTAGAAATAAATACGCAATACACTTTTATCAACATGTCAACAATATCAAAGAAAGAGCAAGTTTTAATTTTCAAATACATTTTACCAATTTGCCTCAGTTGATTTTTGCATATGTACTTGGTAAAATTGTTTGCCGGAATGTTAGATGGATTTATTATTAAGTAGATTTATCTTCTTTTGAGAAATAAAGCCCTTTTAATTTTTGACGGGTGCGTATGTGTATTTGCCCCTAAAACTCATCCTTGGAAAACTGTAAAACATTCTTTCAGATAAAACTGGTGTTCGTAAGTTTACCAAGCACGA